ATATATATATATATATATATATATATATATATATATATATTGGGTGAATGTTTGGGTGGGGAAACCAGTGTTGCACATGCAAGCATCTGCTAATCTCAAGAAAGAAATTGATGACACCCACATCGACGTAGCGATGATGCTGTTAATGGAAGAGTTTTGGTGAGTTCGGAGAGGCCTTCTCCTGTTGATGTCAAGACGAAGCTTCCCAAATCAAAACAACGTGCGAAGTTTTGACCAATGGAAGCTCTGCTTTTGTTTTGTCTTCGCCCTTCAGGGACGTGGTACTAAAGCCATTTCCCTAGGTCTATCTACAGGTCAGCTCTCTCCCACATCTGTCTACAAAAATAGGTTAATGTGCACCCATCAACGTGGTTGGCCAGAGATTTAGAACTCCATTAAAGATGGGGTTTGAGTTAAGGCGAAGATGGGAAGATACAGTTGGAGTTGCTGACTTGGGATATAGTGGGAAGATGAGAAGCTGTCATTGCGGGGTGGCGACGAGTTGCTGACTCAAGACGCCTAGAATGGATGACTCAAGAGTGACGGAAGGGTGACGACATAAACATGTATAACAACACACAAATGGATTCAAGAGAACGAGTCCTATTTTAAGATCAAAGGTCTCTTATTTTAACATACCTTTTACAGATCTGCTACTTTTTGCTTAAAGAGCAGATCGATTAAGTATGTCTAAGAACAACAAGAGATGCCTAATCACTGCAGGGAGGGAGGGAGGCATGAGGTCAGGTAGTGTCACCCAAAACATCACAGCCCATTGAGTGGACGAACTATACTTACGGTCCAAGTCAAATCTCCATGGCGTGGCTTCGACTCTGCCATGTCCATGCCCTCATCCTTACACCAGTAATTGTGCCAGATATTTAGTTCCGTGTATCTCCTAAGCATCGGAGCTTCATGTTCTTGAAAGCGAAGGTTGCACTGTGAAACCCTTTGCTGTTTGTTTTCAGATTCTGTCACCCTTTGCTTCTGAATCAAGCAGTGTCTTTGCTCTTCTACCCCTTCCAAGTTGACACACATACACACACGCACACAGATAGATAGATCAATAGAGAGAGAGAGAGCAAATTCCAAGGTCATTACACTGCTTACGATTGACAGGCCTCATCTTCTTGAACCGAAAGGATTTCCGCAACAGAAGAACAAGTTGGAGAGACAATCGTAGAGGAAAAAGGACTGTTTATTATGACTGGCTCCACCTCTATGTTTCTTAGTTATCGCTGTGCTGCTTCCTTTCCTCTATCTATACTGATCATTTTGTAGATTACACACCAACATGTTATGATTTAGATCTTATCCGATTTAAGCAGCGTTTTTTCGGTTTTCTGACACAAAGAGGATCAGTCCTTCCCTTAGAAGATCTCACAGGTTCTAATTTAGTCCGATGTGATTGCTGGTGACTAATGAGCCATTGAAGTCCACAATAGCAAGTTTAATCCATCCGAGTCCATGACAACATCATCAAAACAAGCAGATCTACATGACAATGAATCTACAGCCCATGGCAACTTGCCGTACCATCTGTTCTTTGTTGGCTTCAATGCTTATCCACAAAAAGGGTCCAAGGTTGTTCTTCTACCTCATCCAACGATCAAAGTGATTAGCTGCAGAGCATAGAATCCCACCTTGTAATCATTGCCTTTATTGCAGACCAGACACGTTACCTCTCTCTTCCGGACCTGCTAATATTAATCAAAGGTTGCCTTTCCACAACAACGAACCTTCGCTTCCTAGGCTTGAGGTGGTGAGCATTCAAAACCACACAAGATGATGCAGCCCACAATCGCTGCCTAGGCTGTTTCACTTTGTGGTCACTGTAAACTCCCTTCGGCCATGATATCTTTTACATGCACGGAAATCAACAGCGTAACACTTTTTACCTCAAGCCCAAGAGCAAGTTCGATGCAGAGGGTCTCTCAGATCATGCAATCAGCAGCTACCTGAAGAGACCATTAAAGCATGGTATTATTCTTGTGATCTTTCCCAAGTGGTTGGCAAGACGAAGCCAGAAAGTGCTACAGAACCGTGTCAAGTTGTCGAATTCTTAGACTACGGCATCACCCAAATTAGTCCATTTCCATCCAAAAGACTTTGCCCACCACTGATTCTGTGGGGTAGACTTGAATTCAGGCAGGAGGAAAGTCCAATCGTAATTGTGGCAAAATGAATCAGCAAGATTTTGAGATCAAGAAATCAAAGTCTCTTTTGTCAGGTAAAAGAATTTGTATGCACATCCCTGCATCCCATTTATTTGTTCATCATCTCTACAGCAACTGTGATGGTGATAAGAGTCTAAACAACCATTCTTCTGCTCGATATACTAATGCAAACATCCATAATTTTCTATTAGGATCAGATCTGGAGACATATTCGAAGTTATCTTTCCGATTGGGTTATCCAGATTTGAACAGTGATACTCTCGGAAGAGTCCCAATTCGATCCCAGCCTAACAGGGAAAGGTAACTTGATCTCAATCAGGAACTCTATTCCATATATGACAGATGTAGCTTAGGAGAATCAATCATTACATTCTGTATGATCTTAAGATCCGCACAAATGCATATTCCGCTTTTTATATATCAAATCTACAAAATGATGGTTTTCATGGAATCATATACTTTTTTGCATGTGACGTGATTCAGGTGGTAGACTGTCTCCATCACCTACCTTGGCATTTCTGAACTCCATCACCGTGTAGCCAAGTAATCCCCCCCATGGCATTTCCGTAGAAGATGTGATGTGGTGGTCGTCTGGGAAATCAGTAAAAGCACACAGTTGATTCAACGGGGAGGATAAATTTATTTGTATGAGTGGCAATAAAGGAATGAAAAGGAGTGGCATTACGTTTTAGATTCTTGGGAACAACTGCTACGATCCACAGACGATCTCAATGGAACTCAATTCACGGGAACTTTATGAGTGAGTTACAGGAGAGTCGAGAGTACAGATGGATTTCCACCCTAAGATGAGACCTCATTAGCACATATTTTAGTCACTAAACCAACTTATCCAAGACAAAACCAGAACCAACATTCCCACTAAATACATGGGCTAAGGAAAACCAAAACCAGAACCCAGTCTCGATATACTTGAAAAGTCACTCCATCGTACTCAGCACTCCAGAAGCTGGAAAACGACGACACACAGCAGCAGTTCTATTGGCCTCACCTGGAACATAAGCACATGCCAAGGCCATGATCATCTCCAAAGCTTCCGATTACACTCTCGAGCGGACTTACTCGATCATGTGCTGCTTACTTTTAGCCAAACAAGCATTTTTATTCCTGGCACTAGACACCCACAAGCAAAAAGAAGGAACGAAAAAGGAGAGCAGTCATGGCCTTCCCATCCCCCCGCCCCCCCCCCCCCACCCCCACCACCACCACCCTTATAATTAAAGCCCGGTAGCAGCCAAACCATTCACGCACTGCTGCTCCGATTAACCTCTGCAACATCATCATTCCATCCGACTCCCGATGCAGGAGGCCATGCTGCAACTCCTGTCGGCCATGCGGAGGAGGCTGCGGTGGCCCAAGAAGCGCCGCAGCGCACGGGTGTTCGACGAGGTGGCACTGGCACGCACCGGTACCCCGGAGGATGCAGGGGCCGCGCGACGCCCGTGGGGAGGCCTGACGATGCTGCTGGCCATCGCCCGCGCCCCGCTGGCCGCGGTGTCTTGCCTTGTGTGCCAGGCCGAGGACATGGACGCCGGGGGGCGCCTCCATGCAGCGGAGATGGGTGACTTGATGGTCGGCGAGGCCATGCGTTTCGCCATCTATCTCTAGCCATTATATATCATCTAAGAATGATATGATGTGATGTGTTAGAAAATTTTGTGACGTAAGGAAACAAGAACAGGATTTCGAATGGCTTCTTCGTTTCTTCGTGGCCCAAAACAAGATTTTGCCCTGAGACAAAAAGAAAACATCTTTCACTTGGTTTCTTGTCTTGTGTTCTTTTCTTTGGGTGTTTCTTTCTTTGTTAACATAGAAGGAAAAGTCAAATCGTAGCAGTGTTTTGGGAAGTCAAAGGTCTGATCATCTCTAAGATCTGTTCTCACAAGAACAGCGTGGTTACTCTGTTTGGACTAGAGAAATCCGGAGTTGATCCGTTTCAAGAAATGCTCACTTCCACCTCAAGAAAAAACCTGCCTCAGATCGAGGAAATAAAGGATTACCAATTGCTTGGAAATCCTTTTATTTCTCCTTCAGAACTCTCGACTCGAGTAAAGGTATGATGATGACGATGATGATGATAGGAACAATATGGGAGCATTTTTCTTTTGATGTATGTGGAATAAACAGGGTTGATCAATGCGTCAAAGGATGTCTCGATCTATCATGGTACGAAGTGTGATGGTAGTGGGCAATCTCATGACTGGTGGGGATGTGCATAGCCTTTAATTGTGATAATGTAGGCAGTGGAAGACCCAAACTATCCCATTTGTGATAATGTAGCTTTTAATTTGAAAGTTACTCGTAGCTGCAAGCTACGAAAGAGATAAGATTGTTTACATAGATAGCTCCAGAGAATATATTTCCTGCTTTATTCAAAGCAAAGGAAGGAACAAACAGCGAAGAATGCTGCCGGAGAAACACCACCTTCATGAAAATTTTCGCCCATTTTACTTGTAAAAGTTAATCAGTGCAATTTAATTTTTAGATGATCTAATAATAGTGCCCCCCAAGTTTGGAACTTTAGGTTAATGCTATGGTCGGAGACTGAATTAGTTGAGAATTTGAGGTAGAGAATGAAACGAGAGCTAATGTTGTGTTTGTGAGAAGATCATAATATAGATAAATATAAAATGATAATTTTTTATTTTTTATATATTTTAATCGTCGATCGGTTTGAGAATCAATCATAAATCTAAGTACATAATTTGAATATATTATTCAAGCACATGATTGAAGAAAATTTCTCCCTCACAACTTACATAAATATGCATTACCTTAATAAATGAAATTACTCTTTTCACAACAAATTTTTCATGGTATTCTTGCTTTTAAATACGTTTCCATCTTTCTTGCTCTCTCTTTCTCTATATCATTGGTGACTACTATTGTAATCACATCAAATATTTAAGTTAGAAATTGATTTTCTTTCCTTACTTGTTATTATAATTTAAGGAAATCTTAATCTACTTCCTTGTTTGTTGATATGAATTAAGGAAATAACTAGTAAGTATTCCAAATATGATGATATCATATTTGTTAGTATATTAAATGGAATTAATTCATATTAAATAAATAC